GAATAAGTTTATTTCCTATTTCATGTAGAATAACCGATTCATCAAATTTATTAATTAGGCTAATTAATGGAAAGTATTTCTGTTATGAACCAAACTTTGTTTCAAATAACGTTAGTAATAGAGCGTAAGCCTATTTCCAGCGATGATATCTTTATTTAGCTATTCATCAGCTTTAGATGATCTCAAAATTGGTTACTGAAACTTTTAAACTTAAAAGTTAAGCCAATGAAAAATAAAAAATCTAAGTGAAATATTCCTATTCACATGAAGCAGAGGGATTAACTGTTACAAACTTATAAGGATAATAATATAAAACATTTATTTACGATCAGACTCATTTAATACTTTGCGATATTTGTCATTAATATACCTAAGATTGGAATTATAAAATTCTAATAGTGCAATGCATTGGTCAGTCATTGTTCGCGTAAATTAATTCTAAACTTGTGTTATCATTCATACAAATATGATGAAACTATTTTACACTTCTTGAATAGTCATGACTGCTCCATACTTTTTTTTTTACTTCTGTTATATAAAAATGAAATTTCTCATTTTCAAACTTGACAGTCAGCCATTAATAAGTAACATACGATTACAAATAGTTTACAGGAAGAATAATAATACAGAAATAAACTTTAAAAAATTATTGACAAATAAAATAGGAAAACAATTTGTATGATTCGACACACTTTCATTCAATAGTGCAACAAAAGCATAGGATGCGGTACTTAGTTTTCAAACGTAAAAAAAATTATTTTTTACCCTTTCGCTTGCTTACTATTCAGTTACATGCAGCAACTCCGACATGCACAGCGTATCTAGGTCTAAGTGTAAAAACTTATATTCTTATACTTATACAAACCAACCAACCTCAAAAACCTTTATTACTCTCTTAACTAAATAGATAATTCCACTACATAGAACAGTTACTTGATTAGTTTGATCCAGGAAAAAACAGAATAAGAACAGTTAACTTCATTTATTAAATAATTTTATTTTCATAATAGCAAAGAAAGACTCACGGTAGATCATTATCAGCGTATTTGGCAAGTGGGAAATTGTGCACACAAATCCATGAAAAAGTTACTAAAATTCGACTTTTGGCGATATGATATTTGCCTCATGAATTGACGACTTCAAAGGAGAACGAAAATAGAATTCAGTTGGTTTTGCTAAGAAGGCTGGAATTTTTGTATATAATGTAGTATCATTGGTGAAAGAGAGAAATTTCTCCGCCTGCTCAAAAGTATCACTTATTTCATTTAAATCTGTACACGGTGAATATTTTTGTCCAAATGAACTAGTTGATAAAGTTTCGTCTGTTTTCTTAATAAGTTTGTTGTGGCCATCTCTATTCAGTGTTTCTAATTTAATTGAGGTATTATTGCATCTTTCGTATTTTGTTTCAGATTTATGGTTTTCGAGTCCAGTTGGCTCGGTATAATCATTAATGTCATTCAGGACTTTATCGCCAAACTTATTTGCAGATAGTTCTTGAGAGTTGACTAGAGACCATTTTCTAGCTGAAATGCAAGCCACAGGTGACGATCTCGTCTCATAAAACCACTCATTCATACAATGCTTGTTTTCTGTATATTTTGACCAGAGAAAAATGCTCTTCTTATCTCTAAAAGGCTTTAGGATACGCGGAATTTTCATTTTAGTTTGCCGTTTTATCTTTTGTACATATTGGCAGGAAGGAATAGAACTTGTAGAATATGAGCAATCAGATTCGGCTGATTTACTACCTGATATGGGGTAGATGCATTCCAATTTGTCTGAGAGATAAGGTTTTGAGCACATATGGTGCTCTTTTGGAGTAATCGGCAAAGCTTTGCATGTCTCATCACTGTTTTCAGGACTCCTTTTCTGCAGCTTCTTGGTGTGTCGCCTGCGACAGTTGACTGAATAGTCTGAATGGATCGAAGAGTTTACCAGCTGCAGAAACATATTTTTTCTAGTAGAACCTTTGGAAAAACCATGACGACGACCAAAGCAGAGGACGCGGATAAATGCCCGCCGGAATTCGCGCATCGAATGAGCATATATTAATGGATTGACTCCTGAATTCATATAGCCTAGCCATGTGACAATTGACATGATATATGCATCATGGATACCGAGGACTTCTGGACTGACAGCTTTTGCCGTGTTGCAGATGAAAAACGGTAGCCAACAGATGATGAATATGCCCATCACAATGCCAAGCGTCTTTGCTGCTTTCTGCTCATGAACGAACTTGCCAAAGCGTCTGCCAAAGCGCGACCACGTGAATAGACGAATGGATGGTCCACTATTTTCATTAGTTGGCACGTTCTTGGTGAGGCTCTGAGGCTCTTTTGTCCTGTCTTTTGAATGCGAATACTCAGAAATGTTGTTACATTCGAAGTGGTGCCGATCTCGTTTCAGACAACATCCCAGCGTGTCTTTGCAGCATATTTGCATTTGGATACCAGTTGGCCTTTTAGTCATTTGAATGAGGCGCTTTAAACTGTTCACTCTGTCAGTTGAACATCCTTGCTTCCTCTCAGCGCTGGTATTAGAAGAAAAACGCACATTTAATTTGCCGCCCGACCTTCCCCATGGCGGCGAACATTCTGGAGGTTGGTCGCAAGGCCGATCAACTTTTCGTAAACGCATAGAAGATCGTAAGGCAGGGCGTGGGTCGGTAGGAGCATCCCACGTAGTTGATGCACAGGCTTCTGAGTGAGTACCGCCGCCGCGATGCACTCCAAGAACCATCACTTTGCCACCTTCCGTCTTGCGACCAATCACTTTTTGACCTTGACTTAGACTTCTAACCAGGCTGCTGGCCACCTGATAGATACGCCAGTAGACGAAGATCATGACCATCAGTGGTAGGTAAAAGGAAATACAAGATGATAAAAATAGGTATAGTTGATCTGTAGGAAAGAGGCACTCATCACGAGTAGGATCTGTTGAGGAGGTAGCATTGTTGAACCGGCCAGCAGCTCGCCACCAAGCGATTGCTGGGAAAGAAATCACAGCAGAGCAACACCACACGGCCGCAATCATTAGACCAGACAGACGCGGTGTCATTCGGAGGGGATACAGAAAAGGGTTCGAAGTGGCCCAATAACGATCCAGAGAGATGGCACAAAGGTTTAGTATGGACGCTGTTGAGCTCAAAACGTCGAAAGCGTGCCAAAAGTCGCACCAAAGCTGGCCAAAGGGCCAGCTGACTGATGAGCTTTCAGTGAGTATTTGGCTTTTTGATTGTAAGAATGTAATCTGTTCGAACACTGCAAAAGGCATCACGATGCTGCCCATGAGCAGGTCAGCTGCTGCTAAAGAGACGATAAATGAGTTGGTCAAATTGGCGCGCAAGTGCGCTTCACCGACAACTGCCACGATCACCAGTAAATTACCAAGTATGGTAAGAACCACGAGCACCACAAGAAAGCTAATAATTATGAAAAGCTTCCAGTTAACTGATAATAAAAACAAGGTTCCTTCATCGAGAGTAGAGTTTTTCGACTTTGCCAAAGGCGAAATAGAAATAATCCCTGCATTCGATGAGTAAGGATGTCCCTGAACCATATTTAGCTTCACCTGGGATATGCTTCGACAGTATCATTGAATGACAAAAAACCTCTTGACGAAAAGATCTGAGTGCCCTGGTAGGAATTTTCATTCGTGGTTTTTACGCTAACTGAGATGGATAAAAAGAGCTATCAGCCAATTGGATTGCCACTTCTTGATTTCAGCTATTAGCCAATCAGAGTCTCATCCTCAAAGTATTTAGGAAATTTGTCTAGAGTATATGAATAACAAAAATATTTTATTTAACCAGAAAAATAAAAATTTTCATAAATCTATTTACAATTTTCTTTTTTATGTAATGGAGCATCATTAAAACATCAGGATCTGCGGAAAAGTTATAGTGCCTCAAACTAAGAAGGACTTTTACTATTATTCCAATATAAACTGCCAAAAATATATAACTTCTAAAAATCTAACATGAAAATAAGGAAGTGTACCAAATATTATTCCAAATTTTTAATTTGGACAGCAACGACTAAAATGAAAATGAGCAAAGCTTGGGTATTGAATCCGAATATTCAAGATAAAGTGTTTTATTAAATGGAAGTCTTTATGCTAATAGAAACAGTAAACATTTAATGATGAAGTTGCTGGATAAATATACAGTGAAATAAGTAAAGTATTGATTGGAAAAAGGCACTAAAATAAGTGTAATAAAACATTACAATGTTTCTTTGAATGAGTGATAATGTTCATAGATGGGTATACTATAAAAACATGTCGCCTATTTAAGACACAATTTAGATAAAAAATAGCTTCAAGATGAGATTACCCCAGATGCGCCCTATATTCTATGACAGATGGATTATTTAACAAATTGAATCCAGGTCAAATACTCACATACTATGCCTATTACTGTCATACTTTGAAGGGAACCGATAAGTTGGAATGGAAATAAATCGTTGATGAAACTTAAGTCCTTGTTTCATTAAATCGCATTTTTAATTACAGCAAATTAAAATAGCAAAAACATCACAAATAAGATGCCACTTTATATGTCATTTATCTTATCTTTTACGTATCTAAATATCTAACTATCAGATTATTATATCTTTCATTCATTTAATAGCACTACGTGACGCTATTATTGAAAACGTGCATTTTGGGGAGTACTTATTATGAGCATTTTGTTTAAATTGATGAGTGAATGTAACAAAGAGAGAAAGTTCAATATCTAATATTTTAGCAGTTTATTTCGATATTTTAAGGCATATGAAATCAACCTCTAGATTATACTTCATAGGTATTCTGTATGTACACCCAACTTTCCATCATACACTTTCACATTACATAAGTGTTTGCTCAAAAATTATGTCGCATTGAAATATTTACATTTACACTACAAAGAATGAAAAGCATAAGAGAGATCTCTAGCACCTTCTCCTCACCCCACCGTTTTGACGAAGCGGGGCATTCAGTCGGGGCATTTATGCATTTATATCTTTATTCATTCCGTGAAAGAAGATAAAATTTAATTGTTATGCAAATAAGATTTTAAGAATTTTTGAAGTATTTAGCTTCTGATTTGAGTGTAAGCTTGCTTATAGATGATAGTATTGACCCATTAACTTCTTTTAAATATTAATTACGCTCAGCAAAACTAAATTAGGTAAATAAATAAAAAATAATACGAAATAACCTAATCGTAATGTTGAAAAATGAAAATTGCTTGATATTGTATTAAAATCCATATTTTACATGAACTCAAATGAATGATTTGTAGCTATTTCTTAGTAAAATCGCCATCCTGCTGAGAAAGGGTCGAAAATAATCGAAGTTCGAAAATTGGAAGATATGATTTTTTACTAAGCACTTATTAATGGAAGATGTTCGTTTTCCAAGAAAAAAGCAGGCAAATGTTAATACATTATATATAATATTTTGATCAGAAAGGATTAAAGGCTTAACTAGAATCTGCATTTCTTTAGTAAGCAAAAGTGGCTCTACAGTGACAAATTGCTAAGTAAATCCATTAGTCCGAAGTGAGTTATCGGGAAGGAAATATGTGTAAAGCGGCGTATATGAAGAAGTCAGCGAATAAACTAATAAAGTCATTAGACTTTGTAGACTAAAATTCGACATTGTGTGGAATAGTGAATGAGTTTGGATCTGCATAATAACAGAAACCATTAAGCACTTAACAGAGTATTGTCAATAAATTGGGGAAACAATACATAAAATATTATTCGAAGTCCAGACTATAATCTCGATAAAGTATTTTAAGGTGATAAAACTCCTCCGTTTTGTCTCACATGCTGATAAGATAAACAAAGAGCTTGCTAGATGTACATGTTTTCCTGAGTGCACTTAGAACGGAAATTATTGGGGAAGTAGTTTAATTCTCCTGTTATTTAGCGGCTCTAGAATACCCTATTGTTTATTTACATCAATAGAAATTAAACTAAGTATGATGAATATTTATGTCAAATTTTCTAATATGAAATAATAGAAGACAAGCCAGATGTCAAATTACTTCGAATCCTGGGTTATTTATATAAATAGCAAACATAGTTCATTAAGGGGAAGATAGTATAGTTAAATAAATTTATTTAATTCTATTTATTCTATATTTATCTAGTAAGAAGCCTTTATTCATTAAATGAGTTTCATGCAGCAGAAGAGGTGATCCAACTGAAAGTTAGTTTGCTATGTAACTAAGCAAAAGAGTTGAGATAAAAAGTTGACGGAAGCCTTGCATATTATCCTGGATAGAGATTATAATTGTAAGATAGTACGAAGATAGAGTTTTTATTATGCAAGCCAATGGTTTAGACGTTTGATGCGATCCAATAATAACCATGCTAGGATTAAGTACGTTTTGTAATGTCTCGCTACAACCAAGTTATGAAGCTGAGATCATAGCAACTTAATAAATCATACTTTGTCCCTAAATGGGGAAAAATAAATGTTTGGCAGTATAAGCAAGTGTAAGTTCCCAAATTTCACCAAAAGATAGACATATATTATTATTATATTTCTAAAAAGGTTTACGAGGCTACCAGTAAATCATATATATGATATGTGTTCACTCTATTTTGGTTAAGGTGAGCAGGGACTCGTAGTTAAATTTTCCCACATTGCTATCACTAGACCCAAGCTTTCCATTA